GGTGATGAGAGAACGCGCTTGAGAAACAGTTTAGAGAGGAGATATCAATCTACATATAAAATATTGGTCACAGATTATTGGTCACTTTCTGAACAATAAAAGTATAGGCCATCCACTAGTAATTATATATAAATAAATCGGTTTTTACTGATGCAAATATGTTAGAAACGATGCATCGCGATACAAATGCCAACTTGTATCCGATGCACACTTTTTAAACCGATGCATCGCATCGTTAACTTTTATGCCGATGCACCGAGCGAATGGGGGAATCTTCCCATCCCTATTGCAGAGGATAAAGCGGTATGGAAGATGGATGGATGGATGAAACAAAGTACCAGGGCTATAACCGCCATAGACTTTGAAGGGCCATTACTAGCCTAGGACACACATCACTCCCTCAATATTCAGATTATTAGTTAACTTTTGTTGTGATTTTCCATGGCTGATTCCTGGACAATGCATCAAGCATTTTGAAATATTTTAATTATTAATTTTTTTTTTTTTCATTAAAAGCTAAATATTGGAAAAAGTTAACTTTTAAAATATTTTATTAATGTTATTAATAGAAAAATATGAACATATTAATGATATTAATACACTAATTTTCAAAAATCATGGGGACATTAAGATTTTTATAAATACATTTGAAAGTCTCAAATGCTCATTAAGTCTGCATTTATTTGTTTAAACATACATTAGAAATTGTTAGTATTAGTAATATTATTAGTGATGTAAAATATTATTAATTTAAAATAAGAGTTTTTTTATTTTCTATAATATATTATAAAATGTTATTTATTCCTGTGAATTATTCTAATATGCTGATTTGGAGATTAAGAAACTTTTCTTGTTATTATCAATGTAGTTGATAATGTGTAGTTTTTCAAGGAAACATAATTTAATTTTTTTTTCAGGTTTGATGTATAGAAAGATTAAATTAACAAAATTTATAGAAAATAATGCCTTTAAGGTCACTTTTCCATCCTTGCTGAATAAAAATATTATTTGTTAAAAAAAATCTTACTGACCCCTAATTTTTGTACGATCGTGTATATTAAAATTAATATTAATTTAATTTTGGTAACACTTTAGTATAGAGATCAATTCTCACTATTAACTAATTGCTTATTAGCATCCCTTTTAATAACTTATTGGCTGCTTATTAGTACTTATAAAGCACATATTCTACGTGACCATATTCTACATCCCTAATCCTACCCAATACCTAGCTTAACAACTCCCTTTACTGTTTACTGAGGCAAAAGTCATAGTTAATGATTTATTAATAGTGAGAATTGGACCTTAAAATAAAGTGTGACCTTAATTTTTTATTTACTTAAAGAAATTCAGTATTACCCATTTAAATGTAAAAGTGACAAAAATGCCTGGTATTTTGATTTTGTGTTAAAATACTTTTATCATTATTCCTTCACTCCATCTTTAATGTTTTGTTTATGTTTGATTACGTATGTCTTTGTTTAAGGTGTATATTTTTCATTGTATCTGGTGCCTGTTCGTGGGGGGTCTCTTGTTTTTTGTTTTTTTGTTTTTTTGAGTTTTTTGTGTATAGTATATTTTTTGTATACATTTTGTGAGACTTTTATTTGTTTTATGTTTATATAAAAACTGTTACAAATAAAATTATTTAAAAAAATAAATAAATACTTTTATCATTAGAAAAATGAAAAGGTATATTCATGCCATTTTATAGGTTGGTTCTTTTTCACTGGGACTGTCAAACCATTGCTTTGTTTTTTGCTTGTTCTAATCAGCCTAACATAGCAACAGTCTCAACCAGTGGCATTAGTTTAGGGCGGGGCATCTGTTTGGCTGACCAATAACAGATGGATGGAGTGTTTAAGGAAACCTGTTTGAAAACAATTTTACTCCAAATTTTGTTGTTGCTAGTGGCAAACAGTGATATAACAGTGATATGAATTACTAAGTATAATAAATTAAATATTTATACGGTTAATTATGTACAGTAGTAAATCACACTGTAGAATAGTTAGCTGACAATGACTCACTCACAGACAAAGAAACGTGGTATTTTCCTGCTCTGTCTCAAGTGTTGTCTGTTTTATTTGACAGGATGAGGAGGAGGAGATCAAAGCTGAGATCAACATGCTAAAAAAATACTCCCACCATCGAAACATCGCCACCTACTATGGTGCCTTCATCAAGAAGAATCCACCTGGCATGGATGACCAGCTCTGGGTCAGTCTAAATTAGTTGTAGGCAGAAAGAATCACGGTATTTTAGTGTGTAAATGTTTCATTATTAATGTGTGTAATACAATATAGTGTCAGGGAGCTAAAAGTAGTGATGTTTCTAACTTTTTGAGTAGCTTGCTAGTAGTTTAGCTGTTTTCATATTGTTACATACTATATATTATTGTTTTTTGTCATTTTATATCCAAGTGGCAACCTTCCGGTCTCTCTCATGAAACCAACACGGAAGTGACTAAAACTGCAATTCATCGACTGTCCGCTAGAGACTGGCTCCAAAAGGGAGTCCATAGACTCCCCATGTCAAAATGCCCAAATTTACAGCAGAAAAAAGATGTTTACAGCCTGGTACAAAAAGTGGTTTTGGTCTATATAGCTAATTTTGCCCTTCATGACAACTGTGAGGGGGGTGAATTTTTTTATAACTCATCCGTTTAAATTATATTAAGCCTTAAAGTTCTGCATAATTAAGGGCATGATGCGCTGCCAAGATGGCGACGGCCGGCTCCGCCCACTTTGAGCTTCAAAAATGCTCTTCAGAAACCTACGGGTGACGTCACGGACACTACGTCCATGTTTTTATACAGTCTATGGTTATATCTCAAATGCAGATTTGCAGCCACATAAAACTAACGTTTGACTATAGTGTAACTATTTAATAATTTGCTGACTGTTTTACTTTAATTTTTCAAGGTCTTTCTTATATTTAATGAGGAAAAATATTTGGGTGTGACAAATCTAACCTGTGGAGCCTAAGTGACATAATCAGAAAAGTTCAAGATTATGAAGACAATCAATTTTTTCTTTGGAATAAGACACCAATACACAGTAATACCTGGAATACGCTTAAACATAAGAAGCTACAGCCTCAAAAATAGCTTTCTCAACACTGGTAAGGTAACACTTTCCAACAGCTGCCGATTTGTCACTCAGAAACGCAATTTTCACACTTTGCACAGAGGTGCCTAGGCCTTGTTGTTTTTATCTCTATGCGTTGAACGCAAACTGCCAGCCTCATTTCCTCTGTGGTGAGCTTTGTCACTTTCTTTGCCCAGCAACAGAAAGATAAGTGACATGCTGAAGACATTTACTAGCACTGGAGCATGTGGTCAGCACAACCACCCTCCATTGGGCGTCTTTGTAAGAAGGATTTCCCTTAGAGGAAAAACAATGTTGCCAACTCAGCAATCGTGACTTTGGAGAGTCCCAGAGGCCAAACATATTTTGACCCATCTGAGGGCCAGCTCAAGAGAGCATTCAAAACCAATCAGTGTTTCAGAAAAACCATCATATTATGCTCATAAATTACATTTATTGACTTTTATTGTGCCCCTGGGGCCATTAATGAGAATAGAGCTCTATTTATGAGTGTCTTGGGAGAAAAGGTAAAGCCAAAGAAGTAAAAACACAGCTGGTTTGGAAGTTTGCATGTCACTGCTCCTTACTATAACTCTATGTTAAGGCAAAGGTTGGGCTATAGGAAAAAAACTGCAAGGCATTTTTATTGAGTTAAATCAGAGAATTATTAGATGGAGGCCTTTCTCTGGAAACAACTATGAAATTCCCTTTTTTAAACCACTAATACTTTTTATTGCAACCTTCTATATTGTCATTTCAACTTCTTCAAAGTGGGAAAATGAAGTTGCCCTGGGACAAGTTGTCATTCATAGATCTAGTTTCAGCTGAAAAGTGTGAATTTGCATGTATGTATGAGTGTCGAATGTTGGATCTAATTAAAATACTGGTTCTGCCACTTTAAACTGTAAGCTGCTGTAGCTAAAAAATAGAACATTTGTAGACATATGGATCATTTATTTTTTAATTAGAAACTATTTTTTTAAACTTTTATTTCAAATTTTGCTTAATTGAAATTTTTTTTAATTTTGCTTGGAGATATTAAATAATATTATTGAATATATATATTTATATATAGCCCTTTAAATTTCTTTATTTGGTAATATTTTTAATGTTTTTTTTTTATAGTTTACTATGCTCATCAAGGCTGCATTTATTTGATTAAAAAATGTTTTCTATTTTAATGCACTTTAAAATATAATTTATTCTTGTGATCAAATCTGAATTTTCATCAGCCATTACTCCAGTCTTCAGTGTCACATGATGCTGCTTTGTCTTCAATATTTCACAATATACATTTTTTTTCTGTATTTTTGATCAAATAAATGCAGCCCTGATGAGCATAAGAAAGAGTTGATTATTAGCCAGCATTTCAACATCGGGTCCCGTTCACACGTTTGTGCGACAGCACCAATGTAGATCTCCACTAAATGAGATTTTTCCTCATTCATGTGGCTTCTTGGGTTTTATCCAAATTTTGTTGACGTGTTGTGTCTGTAGCTGGTGATGGAGTTTTGTGGTGCTGGTTCAGTGACAGACCTGATAAAGAACACCAAAGGAAACTCTCTGAAAGAGGAGTGGACGGCCTACATCTGCAGAGAGATCCTCAGAGTGAGTATGTGTGTAGTGTGGGCCACTAGAAGACATTATTAGCTTCCAGAAGTGTTATTTTTGAAGAGTGTTTCCTCATTTGACCGTCTCCAGTTGAGTTGAACTTCTTCATCTGGTTTTGATAGGGTCTGACCCACTTGCATCAACATAAGGTCATTCATCGTGATATCAAAGGTCAGAACGTTTTGCTCACGGAAAATGCGGAAGTCAAACTAGGTGAGTTCACACCCCTAACTCAAGCTCACTGAAGATAAGTAACTAATTACAAGCAACAGGACAAAACAACTACAATAAATAAATACTACACACATTGTATATAAATTAATCAAAAACACTGCATAGCTTTCACTGTGTAAATTACATTTCTTATTATTAAAGTTACAAAAGTGATTTAGTCAAGAGCGGTGAGAGATTTTCTCTCACTTCTCTCTCTTCTTAAGACTTAAATGACTGTTTACGAGGATACTTGCAAAGTTGGGCATTTTCATTCATATGTGTATTTAACCATTCAAAGCCAATAAAGCAACAAAAATACTTACATGCTCCATGAGCAGCGGATTCTATTGTTTGCATTTAAACGGCTTAAAATCACTCGTTTTTAAACCACAATGCTTAAAAATGTGTGCAGAGATACATTTTCGTGACTACGGCACACCACAACTTAAGTGCATGACCGCGATAAAGACGATAGTCCAGAATCTACCGGTTGACAAATTTCTACAGGTTAATCTTGTTTACTGGTATATTGCCCACCCCTAAACAGATCAAATAGTTCATTTTAATTAAATAAATCAGTTTGTGCAGGAAGGTTTAATTTCCAAGAACCTGTTCAAAAACATATTCATCAGAAACTCATTCATTTGTTCTGAATTTGCCACAAGATATTCACAAGCTCATTGACATATGAAATTATTAGCTTGACTCTGATTCTGCATGATTAAGCTAATTTGACATTTTTGGAGTGAGATAATAATGTAAATTAGGTTGCTTTTTTTATTATTTATACAAAAACACACTACTGTTCAGAAATATTTGATTGTTTTTGAAAGAAGTCTCTTATGCTTGCCAAGCCTGCATTTATTTGATCAGAAATATTATTGCCATTTTAAAAGAACTGTTTTCTATTTAAATATATTTTAAAATGTAATTTATTTCTGTTTGATACGATTACATTTTTAGCAGCCATTAGTACGGTGTTCAGATCTGGTGCTCAAGAAACCGTTTTTATTGAAAACAGTTAATTTAATGTGTCCTTGCTGTATTAAAGGTTTAATTTCTCTAAAAATAAAAAAATTATATGGTAGTGTATTCAATCTTGATGTCACCTCATTTAAGGATCCTCATTGTTTGTACTTTTTAAAAATATTATATGAACTAGCTATGTTTTATTCATAACTTGTTGTGTAGATAATCACTTTTTCAGTAAATCATTTTAATTATAAGAAGCTAGTTCGAGTGTGTCTGTGTGTGTTTATATTGGTTGATTCTGTCTGTCTTGAGGAACCTGCGACCCTCCTCTGGAGTTATTAGGGCTTGTCATCGAGTTGTTTGAGTTTGGGAGACAGTTCAGGCTGGTTGCTATGACAACACTGCCTGCGGTGACGAGGGTAGAGTGGCACAGAGGCAGATGGCAGCATGCACTTCATCAAAGACCTCTCCTCTCGTTACTGCACGCAGACACATTAAGGCCAAATCTTCCCTGTGTGTGTGTGTGATTGCGTGTGTTTTCAACAGTTGATTTTGGTGTGAGTGCACAGTTGGACCGTACCGTGGGTAGGAGGAACACTTTTATTGGCACTCCATATTGGATGGCTCCAGAGGTCATAGCCTGTGATGAGAACCCAGACGCCACATATGACTTCAAGGTACTTCAAGCGATTCTTAATTACGCTTTTACAACACCTGATTGCTTTTGTGTGAGGGTCTTGTTTGGCTTCAGGCAGAGATCCTAAAAGCACCATTTTGTTACAGAGTGATCTGTGGTCTCTGGGAATTACGGCTATTGAGATGGCAGAAGGAGCCCCTCGTAAGTCCAGCACAATGCAGTATGATGTGAAATGTATTTTATATGAACACGGGGATTGCTAAACACAAACACCTGTCTGTTTTCTCAGCGCTGTGCGATATGCATCCTATGCGAGCACTTTTCCTCATACCCAGAAACCCAGCGCCTCGTCTCAAGTCCAAGAAGTGGTGAGTCAAACCTCTCATTGTATAAAATATGCACTAATCTACAACTGATTCAAAATAGGGGAAATAATCAGTTTGTTGTTCTCTGTAGGTCTAAAAAGTTCCAGTCATTCATTGAGAGCTGTTTAGTGAAGAATCACAACCAGAGACCCAGTACTGAACAGCTCATGAAACATCCCTTCATCAAAGACCTTCCCAACGAGAGACAGGTCCGAATCCAGCTCAAAGACCACATTGACCGGACCAAAAAGAAAAGAGGAGAGAGGGGTGAGTTTTTTAGTTTATGCTGTTTTCTGTTGATGCGTAAACAAAACTTCGCCAAACATTATTTGTAGCGTGCCTGCCATCCAATGAATCGCAATAAACTTGACTTTTGGTCGGTTATGCTATTAAACATTTTTTTATTTATCTTTTTTTGTCATGTATTTTATTATATATTTTTTATTCTTTATTTTATTTTATTTATTTTCAAAATAAATAAATACATTAATAAATTAATTAAATTATTTATTGAATATTATTTTTAGTAAGAGTTGACTACTATTTTGTAACTTTAAAAAAAAAACTTTTCATGCAAATTTTTATCAATGATTTTCATGTTGCTGTCACAACATTCCTTATCTGAATCTGTCTTTAATCTATTCTATTTAAAAAAAAAAATAATAATTTAATATGTATTTTATTTATTTTATTTTATTATGTATTTTATTTTATTTTTACCTTTTTAATGTATTTTATTTTATTCATTGTCTAAATTAATTATTAATTAATTAAATTATGTATTGTTTATTTGTTTATTATTTATTGTTTTGATTGATAGCAATGATAACCAAATAGTAATTATTGAAAACACAATATTAATGAATATTTGAATAAAAATAATAATTGTAACAGTGTATTTGTTGATGAATAGGAATTTGCCATGAGATTTTTTTAAATTAGAAAAGGGTGAATATTGGTGAAAAATAGAAATAACAGGGAAAATTATTATTTTATTATGTATTTTATTTTTATTTTTGAAATGTATTTTGTTTTATTTATTATCAAAATAAATTTAATTATTCATTGATTATTGTTTTTAGTAAGAGTTGACTACTATTTAATAACTTTCAAAAAAATAACTTAATATTTTTCTTGCAAATTTTTATCAATTGTTGTTATGTCTCAACAGTCCTTATCTGAATCGGTCTTTAATCTAAAAACCTACATCTTACAATGCTGTGTGTTTTCAGACGAGACAGAATATGAGTACAGTGGAAGTGAAGAGGAGGAGGAAGAGCGAGACATAGGAGAGCCGAGGTACATAGACCTTTTTCCGCTCACACACACATGCATGTGGGTATAGTGGAGACCTGATTGACTTCAAGATGATTTAACATCTTCCTTACAGCTCTATCATAAACATCCCTGGGGAATCGACCCTGAGGCGGGACTTCCTGCGTCTACAGTTGGCCAATAAGGAGCGCTCCGAAGCCCTGAGGAGACAACAGCTAGAACAGCAACAGAATGAGGAACACAAGCGCCAACTACTGGCAGAGAGGCAGAAGCGCATTGAGGAGCAGAAGGAGCAAAGGAGGAGACTAGAGGAGGTAAGAGGAGACGGACGAGAAACCGTTTAAAGACCGTGGATTTGCAGCAATGTTTCTGAAATCTTCTGCACTACAGTGGTGTATTAATATCTTTAAAGCTACATTTTTAATCTAAATATAATTATATAATATTTTGTATTTTGTATTGATTTATATGTTGTTTAACATTTATTATATTTCATATTTTTTTATATTATTTAAAGCACATTTTATTTTAATGTATTTTATATTTATATTATATTATTTAAAGCACATTTCATTTTATTTTAATACCTTCTAAGCTAAATATTTAATCTAATATTTAATTTACTTTATTTATAATGTTGTTTTAATTTATATGTTTTTATAAATAATTAT